GGATAAACGATGCTCTCAGCACCAGCAGTGCTGGTGGAGGCAGCAGAGCAAAGAACAAACGCGCTCATGCAAGGGGCCTGGGAGGCCAGAGCTGAGTCTGGCAGAGCCCCAGGTGGCTGCTGTGCCTTGCTGAGCCTTGCTGGTGGCTTGGTGACAGCAGCTGCTTGTCCCCAGTGCCCCGTGTGGCACGGCTGGCACCGGGAGCCGCGGCTGTCAGAGCCACGCTCGCCCATCAGTGATGCGCTGAGCAGGGACCTCGAGGGCTCCTGAGAAACCCAAACTCATCTTTCATGATGCTGCTGGGCTGGTGCTTCCCTTCAGTTCAGTGGGAAATCAGCCCACTGCTGCTGTTCAAGGGAGGAAATTAGAAATTGGCCTTTTAAATTCCGCTGTGTGCAGCTGGGCTGGGAAATCCGAGGGGTTTTTTTTGCCGCTCTCAGTGCTGGGGTGTCACTGCCTGGTGTATGTGAGACAAGTCTGTGCCCTCTTCTCCCTTACTTGTGGCTTCAGAAGTTGTGTCCCCTCTCCGGAGGAGATGGAACCATGTGCCGCCTCACCAGCATGAGATAAATGGCCAGTGCAGAAGAGCTGGAATAAAAACCCTCTGGAGGGTGTGCACTGCTTTCTGGGGTCAGATCAGTCCCTCCAGGGGCTCTGCCCTGCCAGCTCCCCAGTGCATTTCAGGTGAATCCAAGGATCTTGGCTTGTGTTGCTGTTTAATTGCTCACCTGTATCAGCAGCATTCTAAGACATGAGCCACATCTAATCACAAACCCAAACAAAGCAGCAGTCACTCAAGTCCTTTATCTATTGGCAGGCAACACCAAGCCCTCATTTTTATCCATTCTGCATACACACAATTTTTCTGCAGCCTTCATCAGCACCAGGAATTCATCATCTGAGACTAACATTTATTTCAGTAAATCCAGTATGTGTCTGCCCCTGCCCTGACTGCTCAAACACACAGCCACATCAGAGCTGCTCGTTCGGAAGGCGATGACAAGGGTCATCATTTTATTCTTTATCTCTCGCTCTTGGAAGCCAAAGCAAGGCAGGAAACAGCATCCTGGGGAGCTCGAGGGTGTGGATGACAACCTTTCCATGCCTGGCTGTTCATCAGGGTGTCACAGGAGGATGAGGAGCAGCGGGAGGCAGAGCTGAGCATCGGTGCCCGCAGCCTCGCTGCCAGCCCTGTCAGCCCCTCCAGCCACGTGGGGAGAAGCCAAAGGGCAGAATTGCCATGTCAGGTAGGAAAGCTTCAGCCTGGTCAAAAATCAGCTTATTTTCTGAAGATGAGGCAGGTTTGAATTGAGTTTGAATGTTTCATGCTTCTCCCCTCAGGGCTGTGTTTTTGGGAAGAAGGTTTTGTTCGGCTACTTTCCACTTACGCGGCATTTACGTGCCTAAAAGGATTCAGCTGTCAGAGCCTGACAAGCACTGAAAAGCTCTTGTTAAGGTCACTGGTATCAGAGAAATGTCTCTCCTACAACATCCCAGCGAGTCAGGGCCACTGGCACTGGGAGACAGGGGCTGATGTCAAGGCACTGTGCTGCAGCAGGACCGTGCCCTGCTGTCCTGGCGCGGTGTCTCCTCCCGAGGAGAGCCGTGGAACTCTGCCCCAGCTAAGTGCAAAAAAAACCCCAGCTCTAAACATCCCTGACCTTTAAATTCAGGCTGCAGTGAACAGATCTGCTGCTAACCAAAAATCCAGGCTTGCTTTCATGTGCCTGAGTGTTCAGGGAATAGATGTAGCTTAACATGCAAATGCTGTGGCTTCCTGCAGCACGCCGCTGCTTTTCAAGCTCTCTCATTTCATGCTGTTACCTCCATCCCTGCTGTGTCTGTGAAAAGAGCCTCTCTGAGGAAAAGTTTCCCACAGACACAAAACCCAACTGATGCTGTAAAAAAGCCCAACAACCAGTGACTTACAATTTAATTTCTAAATGCAGTGTCCATCTGCAACCTGGCAATCAGCAGCATCTGTGCTGCTGGCGTGTGGAGAAACCAGCCCCTCACTCCCTCAGGTTTCTGGCTGTGTGTTTTATATATTTGTCCTCATGTTTAAGTGAAGAAGTCCTGAATTTGTGAGCCAGGAGTCCTGTCCTGCCATAGGTGTGCAAGGGAAGGTTTTCCCTCTGGAGCAGCGATGCTCTAGTGCCCTTTGATCATCTGAGCATCTCTGTGTCTGAGTTCCCTTGCTCACAAAATTCAGTGTTCTACACAGAGAAGGAAATAGATATCTCTTGTCCCAGGTAACGAGCCATAAGAGAGGGAAAATGGCCTCAAGTTGTGCCAGGGGAGGTTTAGATTGGATATTACAAAGAATTTCTTCCCTGAAAGGGTTGTTAAGCCCTGGAAAAGGTTGCCCAGGGCAGCAGTGGGGTCACCACCCTGGAGGGATTTAACAGAGCTGTGGATGTGGTGTCTGGGGATGTGGTTTAGTGGTGACCTTGGCAGTGCTGGGTTAATGGTTGGACTTGATGATCTTAAAAGTCTTTTCTATCCTAAATGATTCTGTGGTTCTCTGTTCAAATGCCTTTTTTCTTATCACCACTGAAAAATGCTCTTCAAGCCCATGTACATCAGCTGCTGGGCAGGTGGGACTCATCAACAAATAATATTTTCTTGGCACTTTAAATATCTTCCTTGAACCTTTCTTGGATCCTTAAAGCAACACATGAGGCATTATTGACAGGTGAAATAGACAAAATGTTCTATGTTTCTCTAATTCTCTTTTTATTCTCTTCTAATTTCAATTTTCCCATTCTACGCCACTGCCATATTATCCAACATTTAAAGCATATTGTCCCTCATAGTGTCTGCTTAAATTTATAAGCTTGTCTGGTTGTTTTGGCCGCAGGAGACATCATGAATTCCATCAACAATTGCTCTCCTTGGGAGCTGGTCCCAGCCATGTGTGGCCCCAGCAGGAGCAGTGGGTCAGGAGCTGCTTTGGGAATGGCAGGACTCATGTGGCTGCACCTCAGCTGGGCTGGGACTGGAGAAAAGAGCACATGGAATATTGGAAGTTAATTCAAACTCCATAGAAATGGGGTAAACAATGAGATTTAAAACTGATTTTCAGCAATTCAGTCCTGAAGTTGTGGCTATATGTAAGGGAGCCCGTTAGCAGATGATCCAGGCCAAGAAATCAAAGCATGGTCTCTAAAATCTGGGCTTTCATCCCAATATGCAGCTGGGTGTCCATGCTGCCCGGGTGTCAGGGAGAATTCTGATCCACGAGGCATCAAGAAAATCAAGAGATATTTGGTTAAAAGCCCTGAGGAGGGGCCTGACCCTGTCCCACACAAACTCCAATGAAGCAGGGAAGTGGCCCCACGCAGCAGAATCTCTTCTCTTGAGCTCCAAGAGCAGGAGTGAGTTGCTCATAGGAAAAGGAGGTGCTGGGAGCAGTGCCTGGCTCTCAGCTGGGCTTTTCTCAGGCTCCACCACGGTGTTCATGCTCACATGGCATCACTCTGACCCCTCAGGCACCTTTTCCCTCTCAACAATCATTATGGACCACTCCTGAATTCTGGCAGCACTCACCCAGGACAGATGGGCTCTGCCTCTGACAGCTCCAAAACATCACAGAACTCTCATCTTCTGAAGAAAGCCTTCCCCAGATGGGTCTCATTTAAAGCATGGCCTTTCTCATTTCTTCCCAGAGGACAGCTAATTAAGTGCAGAAGGGACAGCTCTGCTCCTCCCAGGGCAGACACAAGTGGGTGTTTGATATCAAAACATTTATGGTTTGGTTTGGTTCCAGCACATCAGAGAGGAGAGATGATGAACTCAGTAGAATAAATATCAATAGATGTTTTGAACTCTCCATTTTGTCTGAGTTTACCAGAGCTGGCCAGAAAGAGGTGAATTCTTGAGAAATACCTTGTGGAAGAAAATGTGTCTAATTTTTTACTGCAGTGGCCAAACCCAGTTCAATCTGTGTTATCTCTCGTGAGTTCTATTAATAGTCTGCTGCCAAAATTGGTGGTTGCAGCTGAGGAGCTCAGAGGAGGTTGAAACCAAGCTCTTCTCTTGCTTTCCAAGCTCTGCCTGCCCCAATCCAGTTGTTTCTGGCTGCCATCTCCCAGTCAGTTGTCTGTGGTGGGAAACTTTATTCCCTTTTCCTCTTGTGCATCAAAATGTCTCCAAGAGGAGATTCTCCTCCAGGCAGGAATCCCTGGAAACTCTGGATCTTTTCAATCTTTTCACAAACTGATTCCCAGCCTCATCTCTCTTCTCTTACATGAGCAATAAAATCCCTTCTCTCCTCCTCTTTAGCTGAACTAAAGTGGCCAATTTTTAACCTGCTTTTTCCAAGCGTGTCTGCATGGTACAAATGAGGAGTTCTGGCTTATCTTCTGTTATGTAAATATATTTTTGTGCTTCCCAAACAAAGTTTTTCTTTCCTTTTGATCTGGCTTTCTTGTAGCCAGTTTAACCTCCAGAAAGAGTCAGAACATTCACGGAGATTGTCCCCGGCATTAGTCCTGAGGAAAACTGGAGAGAGAAAAGAAAACTCCAAATTACTGCTGAAAGCAGCTTGTTTAGAATGGATGCTCACCAAAGGAAAAAGTCGTCTTTCAGTGTCCTTTTTAAAGCAAATTTTTGCTTAAAATAGCTGGGACCAATATAAAAATAGCATTTGCTCAGTGTGATATAAGATGAAAGTGGTGCTTTTCCAGGGAGGTGGCTGTGCCCCAGACTTGTGCTGTGGGCAAATCTCAGAATTGCTGGAGTTATTTTTACCCCTCTGCACTTTTTGTGCCTAAATTTTTCACTGATTGCTTTGGGCTGTGATGGCAGGGCAGGTGTAGCATTCCCAAAAGATACTTCAAACTTCTACAAGAAGAGGCTGATTTCAGTTTTACTGATTTCACAGCATTAATTTTTATTAGAGTTATTTCACAGTGTCACCATATAGAGTTACATTTCCTAATTCTAAAACTAGCACCAAAGCACCAGTACTAGAGGGAAGAAAAAGAGCGCATGCAGTCTGTAGATAAAAATGTTTAATTCCACTTAAATTTGTTCTTATACAGAAGATGTAACAGTAAATATTTTGGCAGCATTTTGGGTAGAATGACAGCAGAAGGTCTGGCCAAACTCATGGTTTTGTTCCAGTGGTCAGGGCTACCAGAATGGTTTTTATCTGGCAAAAATACATACAAATAAATAAATATAACAATATATATACATTATATATATAAGTACCTAAAATTAATATTTTCTATACTATATATTATATATGTTATTATATTTAATAAAGAAATTGTATATCTAGAAATACATTAAAATATATAAAGATACATATATATGTAGATATATAAATTATAAATAGAAATATATAAATATATATATAAATATATAAATATATAAATATATATATATATATGTATATATATGTAAAATTTTATATATGGAATTTATATAGGGCTTACATATGTGTTTTCCTGGATGCTTCCCAGGTCTGCTGCTGGTACCTCCTTGAGGAAAAAGTGTCTTTATTGTAAAAACCAACCAGCTGAAGGTGTTACTGAGGTCATGGATGTGAAGGCAGGAGGAAGCCCTGCCCTGGGAGGCTCTGCCTGGAGCCTCCTGGTGACGCTCTGGAATTGCAGCCAGCAGGAAAACTTGGCAGAGCTTTGCTGTGCCTCAGCCCTGCCCTGCTTCAGCAGGGCTGATTGATCAGCCCAAGGCTGCAGAAATTGGGGTGAGGGATTCATTAGCCTGGGATCAGGCCCTCAGCACTGGATACTCTGCTTGCTTGAAAATAGGTAATTAATGGTGCTTTATTTTTTCACGTTTCCCAGGCAACACAAACCCCCAAGACATTGTTTTCCAGACCATGAACTGATGCTTTTGGCTGCTGCAGAAGCTGTCCCATCTCGTCTGAAGCTGCTGAAAAGGTACCAAAGCCATATTTTTTGTCATTATAGTCTATTTACATCCTATATCCAAAAAGCAATGATGATCAGATGCTGCTGCTGAAATGATCTGCTCTCACCACAGAACTCATTCAATCAGCAGCAGAGTGCTCTGCTATTCAAATAGATAATTAGTGTTGTGACAAGGGTGACTGTAAATGCCTCAGTTTGCTGGCAATGTTAGGAAGTGTGACAAAAATTAAATTATTTGTCTGCCTTAAGCATGGCCCTCCTTGGATTGTTAATGAGGGAAATTCTTGTTAAACACTTGTCCTGTTCAGACTCCTTTACAGGTGCTGGGAGAATGATTTATTCTTTGTATCAACAGGGCTTTCCCCTGTTTTCCCTGACTCCTTTTTTGTGCTTTTCCCTGATGTGAGAGATCATTGCTTGTGTTCCAGCACGACAGAGAGATTTTCCCCAGGGACAGCAATCCCTCTCCTGCCCATCCTGGGAAGGAACTGGCTCAGGGGAAGCCTTTGGGTGCTCTAATCTCAGGGGAAGTCACAGCAAAAAAAAACAAAACAAAAAACCAAAAAACCTGCAGTTCTCTCTGGGGCTGCAGGGTCAGGGCTGCCTCAGGGTTGGTGTTCCTGGCTGTCCCTTCCTCACTTTGCAGGATCAGGAGGCTCCAAGACTCCTGAGCAGGAGGATGCTCTGGAAGCAGGGAGCCCCTCTGGAGCTGCCCATGGCTTCTGTGCAAAGGAATCACATTAAATGTGTATTTTCATCCATGGCCACGTGCTTTGGCAGCTGGGCTTAGGTCCCACCTTTTCCCAAGGGGATGCAAACCCTCCCTGTGTCCTGGGACACTCCAGTCCTGCAGCCTTGGCTCCTGATGGAGCAAATCCCTGTCCCTGCTCTGCAGTTCTGCATCTCGAGGAGTGCAGGATTTGGGAGGGTCAGGGCTGAGCAAGCAGCAAGGAGCTGGGCTCCCCCAGAAGTTTCTCCTTCCTGATGGACAATTTTGGCTGTCCCACTGTCCTAGGAGCTGGGTTGAGTTTAAATTGTCACGGGCTGGATGAATGAACATCCTGAAGTTGCATCCTTTCACAGGCTCCTAACGGGATGCTGTTGATTCTTCTTTTTTCAGCCTCTGCCAGTGCCTTGATGTTCTCCCCACCAAGGGAATTAATGTCTGGGAAGGAATGGAGAGCACAGCACAAAGAGCAGGCATGGTCCAGACCTCACAGGACTAATTATGCTCTTAAAGGGTGAGAAAATAATCTCGGGTACATTGGGAAGAAAGCATCTCAGTAATGGTGCACGGGGTTACAGGCATGTCTCCTATATTTGGGCATTTGAAAAAAAAAAATAAAAAGGGTTTCAAAGACACTTTTTGACCTCAAAAAGATCAGTGAGCAGTTCAAGAAAAGAAATTTAATTCCAAGTTGAGTTTATCATGTTTTCTTGACCCTTAAGGATGGAAAAAGCAAAGGAAGGATGCACATGAAGGTCCTGTGAAATTCTAATATCAAAAAACTCTCATGCACAAACTGCGAAGTCTGAAAACAGAGTTCAAACCCACAGCAAGCGAAGAGCAGGGGATGAATTCCAACGAGGGCACTGCAGACACTGCAGCCTGGCAGCTCAGGCTCTGCAGGAGCAACCAAAGTGTTGGAATCTGTGCTATT